TGTCCACGCCTCGCCCCGCCTGCTGCCGCTGTTGTCCTTTCTCTCACTGCCTGCCCCCGCCGCGGCTGGCCTGCGGCGTGCCGCTGCGCTCGTTTAGTGTGTCCCTGTGCCCCCGCACCCTGCCCTTGTCCTCCTCGCCCCCAGCGTCGCTGTTAGATATCTCTTAATCCTTTTCCTCTCACGGCTGTGTACATGTGTCTATGTGTACATGTATATGTATATGTACATGTATATGTATGTGCATACGTAAATGTATATGTATACGTATATGTATCGGAGGTTGGGGGGTGAGTCCGACGTGGAGCGGAGACCCCCCGTACCGGGAAATCGATTTCGGCTTCGGGTTCGTGTCGTGCGTGCGTGCGGGCGAGGCGAAGCTGCGTGGGCGGGCGAGAAGAAATCTTCCTGTGGCTGGGCCGCGGCCAGACCAAATGTAACTCCTCCCGCGGCCGGTGCCCCGCGGTGTCCCGCGGGTGTCCGAAATCCTCCTGTGGCTGGGCCGCGGCCGGACCAAATGTAACTCGTCCGGCGGCTGGTGCCCCGCGGTGTCCCGCCGGTGTCCCGCGGGTGTCCCGAAATCCTCCTGTGGCTGGGCCGCGGCTGGACCAAATGTACCTCCTCCAGCGGCCGGTGCCCCGCGGTGTCCCGCCGGTGTCCCGCGGGTGTCCCGCGGGTGTCCCGCCGGTGTCCCGTGGTGTCCCGTGGTGTCCCGTTGAGTAATATCGATAGTGATATCGGTTTTGAGATTGATGTGGTGTCCCGAGGTCTCCCGTGGTGTCCTATGGTGGCTTGTTGAGTCATATCGATAGTGAGATCGATCGTGAGATCGATAATGAGATCGAGAGATGTCCCGCGGTGTCCCGTGGTGTCGCGTTGAGTGAGATCGATGGTGAGATCGATCGTGAGATCGGCAAGTGTCCCGAGGTGTCCCGTGGTGTTCCGTTGAGTGAGATCGATAGTGAGATCGATTGAATCAGATGTCGGTCCCCCCCCTTCTTCCCCACCACAACCTCCTTATTACCCGAAGGGTGGTCGTACAGGTCTGTATATGCCTCGTTCCTCCGCCAAGTGCTCATCGCACTGCCCGTCCTTGAAGCAGATCGCGATGCTGTCTCGCAGGTGCTGGATACCAGAAAGCCGCATGGCTTGTGGAGCGGCTTTGAAAATCTTTTGAAATGCCCTGAATGCCACGTCGGACCGTCGTGCTATGACTCGCTTGTGCGCCGTGTCGAGCAGCGCGTGGATCCTAGCGCCCCCCGGGTCGCTGTCAGTCATCTCGTGCTCCTTCTCCTCCTCGGCTTCTCTTCTGCTCCTCGTGATGTTCGCGTCGCCTAGACGACCGAGTGCATCTGCATAGCGGGCGGTATACAAACCTGCATGGACACTAATCACGTTACGGACACGGCGTTCCGCATGCCGCGCTGTAGCTGATGGCATATTGTATCCAACCTCTGCAGCCGCTGCCCCGCCTGCCAGCCCTTCTCGCACCGCTGCAGGCCCTTCTCGCGCCAGTGCGTCACGTCTTGCACCGCTGCTGCCACTTCTCACACAAGTGCCAGCCCATGGCGCACCGCTGCCAGCCCTTCTCGGACCAGTGCCCGTCAGGCTCGCACCACTGCCTGCCGTTCATGCGCCACTGCCAGACTTTCTCGCACCACTGCCTAGCCTTTTCGCATGAGGGGACTGGCCCCAACACTCTAGCGGATGGTGTCGGGCTCGTGCTTCGCAACCATACCACCCTCGGAGCTGATGGCATCGAACTCTTGCTTCGACGTACCACCCTCATCGCTGATGGCTTCTGGCTCGTGCTTTGTGTGACCACCCCCGTAGCTGACAACGTCGGGCTCGTGCTTCGCCCCGCTTCCCCCGCTTCCTCCTCCACCTCCATCACCTCCACCGCCGCCTCCGCCTCCAAAACCAACCTCTGCCGACACTGCCCCGCCTGCCGGCACTTCTAGCACCGCTGCTGGCCCTTCTCGCACCGCTGCCGGCCCGTCTCGCACCACTGCCGGCCCTTCTCACCGCTGCCGGCCCAACACGCACCGCTGCCGCCGCTGCCCCACCTGCCAGCCATTTCGGCACCACTGCTGGCCCTTTTCGCACCACTTCTGGCCTTATTCGCGCCGCTGCCGACCCTTCTCGCACCACTGCCAGCTCTTCGCGCACAACTGCTGGCCTATCTTGCGCCGCTGCCCGTCCCTCTCGCGCCGCTGCCCTCCCTTCTCTCTCTTCGCGGCCCTACCGTCGTAGCTGATGACATCGGACTCGGTATTTCGTTGTATCGCCCTCGTAGCTGATGGCGTCGGGCTCGTGCTTCGTGTGGCTTCCCCGATAGCTGACGACGTTGGCCTCGTTCTTCGCCCCGCCTCCTTAGTAGGTGTCGCCGTCGGGTTCCTGCTTCTCGACGCCGCCCTCGAGGCGGATGGCGCGGGTTTCGTGCTTCGCTATACCTGTCTCGTAGCTGATGGTATCGGGCTCGTGCTTGTCAGCGCCTCCCTGACGCCTGCTCCCCTCTTGATGCACCATGTCTTGAGCCACCTCTTGGTGCGCCACCACGTCCCCCCTGTGCAGGACGAGAAAGTCAGGGGTTACTGCGTTGTCTGTACATGTGCTGTTTGCAGTGTTGTCTCTAAGTCTGTCTGTGCGCCTTCTGTCTGCTGTCGTTGGCTTTTCTCGCAGCTACTATCGAAGCTGATGACGTCTGGCGATGTACTGGCTTCCGCCCAACACTGCAGGAGACGGGGGACGACTTCTGGAGCATTCCTATTGAATCCTGGGCCTGTTGATTGTCGTATCGTCTGTACGCCAGATTCGATCCAGCGTACTGCTGCCACTAACTCTCGGAGCCAAGACATCGGAGGTTTGGGATCTGCTCCATGGGTTGGGCGCAGGTGTGATTGCAGCCCGATCTGGGCACACAGGTCGGACACGGCCACCAGAGCCTGTCGTACCGCCACTCGTTCCACTCTCAGCTGTCTTCTTCTCCTTGCCCGCGATGCGGGCTCCTCGGCCGCCGCCGCCACACAAGGATTCCAGTCCCTGGCGAGGTGGCGCCGAGGAGGAGGAGGAGGGGGAGGAGGAGGGGGAGGAGGAGGAGGAGCGAGGAGGAGGAGGAGGAGCGAGGAGCGAGGAGGAGGAGGAGGAGGAGGAGGAGGAGGAGGAGGAGGAGGAGGAGGGGGAGGAGGCGCCGTCCTCGGCGAGACCAGAGATGCCATGGCTGATGCGCCCGCCTGGCCGCTGTCGACCCCCGCGGGCTGGGGCCGGCCCGCCACGCGGCTCCCCTAAACTTTGACCCTTGGTGAGGGCAGCCCTCGAGTAAAGATACAGCGGGACCTAAGACAGAAGAACATCCTTCAAGAACACAAGACCCTCCGAAGGCCAAACTGAAGAAAAATTCGAGGGTACTCTCCCACAGGATGCACAAGAACATCCAACAAACACGAAGAACATTTGGGTACCCTCCCAAAATCGACCTCGATCTTGTACCTCGGTCCGAATGTACCCTCGGCGAAGACGATTCGCCATTTCGGCGCGCTCGTTTTGTGTCGGAGGTGGAGGTGGTGGACAGCGTTGGTGGCGGAGGCGGGGGAGTTACCGCTAACTTGACCCTCGGTGAGGCCATCCTGGCCTCGCAGTAGGCCATCGGTGAAGGGGACCTGCCAGCAAAGACCCTCGGTGAGGGCACCGACCCAGCAGCGCCGCATTTTTTTTAATTCTTTTGGCCATCGTCATCCTCGTCATCATCTTCATCCTCATTTTCATCTTCTTCGTCTTTTTCGCTATCTGCATTGATGGCCTCAAGGGGACAATTTTCCACGCGTTCGATTTCTGTGCCGGAGGAGGTGGAGGTGTTGGATGATGGAGGTGTGATGGAGGGAGGAGAAGAGGAATCTATCTTACCGTGTTTCTCGGGCTACCGATCGTAGTAATCCTTGGCCACTCTTGTTGAGCATGCTGCCGTGCCTGCACGGCACGCTTCCCTCGGAAAGGGTTCCAACGTCAGGGTATCTGGCGGGGGAGGAGCGCCAACGAGACCTTCTACGAGGACAGACACAGCATCTTCTGCACCCGCAGGATAGCCGCCAACGCTGTGTACGTAGCCCGAGCTGCGGGCTGGAGAGTGAGGCGCCGAGCGAGACGGCCGCTGCGAGCGAATCGATCGCGGGGGGGTTTGAGCGGGCGGTGGTGGGGGAGCGTCAGGAGGAGGAGGAGGAGGAGGAGGAGGAGGAGGCTTGAGGTGAAGGATTGGTGGAGGAGCATCAGCAAGACCCTCGGCGAGTGCAGGCATCGCTTCTTCAGCACCTGCAGGTTAGCCGCCAGCGGTATGTTTCAAGTAGCACTAGCGCCGCTTCGGCAGAGCATCGTATCAGAGGCTCTGGAGCTTCCCCTCGGTGAGGGTCTCTGTATCTTGGGGTGGGTGGAGGTTCAGATGCGGGGAGGGTGGGTCGTGTCCTCGACACTGCTCGCTCTTGATATTCGCTCTGCTTGTCCAACTTCTTCCGCCTGTTCACGCTGTTTCGAACACTGCTGCCGCACATCACGCTTTTATCGTCTCGCACTCGTCCTCTTGAGACTTCTGCTGCGTCCGTCGCTATAAGAGTTCGACTTGTTGAGGAACGCAACATCCCCGTCGCTGATGTTTGGCGAACGTGCAGAGAAAAGGAAGAGGAGGAGCGTTATGTGGAGCAGGAGGAGCAGCAGCAGGAGGAGGAGGGAGAAGGGTGAGGAGGAGCATGAGGAGAAGGAGGATAGGGCAGGAGGAGCGGGAGAAGCAGGAGGAGGAGGAGCAGCGGCAGCATGATGATGATGATGATGATGATGATGATGAGGAGGAGGAGGAGGAGGAGGAGGAGGAGGAGGAGGAGGAGGAGGAGGAGGGAGCAGCAGCAGCAGCAGCAGCAGCAGCAGGAGAGGGGAGGAGAAGGGAGGAGCAGCAGGCGGCGAATAGAGAGAGAGAGAGAGAGAGAGAGAAAGAGAGAGAGAGAGAGAGGGCGGGGGCTACCTCCCAGCGCGGCGCCGCCTGAGCCGCGGCGCCAACGGCCGGCGGCGCCGCCGTGCCCGTGGGCTGGTGGGCGTCGTCCTGAGTCCGGAGGCCAGTGTGACGACGGCGACAAGGGGCGACGACTGCGACGACGGCGAACCACGGCGACGACAGCGGACGATGAACGACGACGACGAGGGGCGACGAACGACGAGCGACGAGGGCAGCGAACCACGACGACGACAGCGGGCGACGAACGGCGACGCTCTCTTCATTCTCCGTCGCTCCTCTTCCGCCTCCCACACCCCTCGTTCTCGAGATCCCCCCTCTTCGGAAACCCATGGGGACCGTCGTCTTTGTCGTCGTCTTCCACCGTCCATCGCCGACATCGATAATCGTCTACTGTCATCGTCGTCGTCGTCGTCGTCGTCGTCGTCGTTCGCCGTCGTTCATCGCCGTCCGTCGTTCGCCATCGTCGTCGCCGTCGTCGTCGGTGTCTGTGTACATGTCTGTTCTGTCTCTGCTTATCTATATATAGCTGTTTCTGCATCGCTCCCTCCCTCTCTTCCTCCCTCCCTTCCTCACTCTTTCCCTCTCTCCCTCTCTCCCTTTCTCCGTCTTCTCTGTACTTCTGTCTCTCTCTCTCTCTCTCGGTCCGTCTCTGTCCCTGTCTCCGTCTCCGTCTCTCTCTCTCTCTCCTTCACAGACCTTCGACGACTCGAGCTTTCGGGGCCCCGGCCCCGGGAGCTCCCAGAGCCCCTCCTTGGAGCCGGTCCTTCCAACTGGGCCATCCCGCGACTGCCTCGGCGCCTGCGGGCGGGGGGCTCTGGAGGCGGACTCTCCGGTGACGGCGGCCCTCGGCGGATGTCCCCACGGGGCCCACGGAGCGCGCGGGGAGCGTGCCGAACGGGGGTGGGGCGCTGGGGGCCGCCCGCGGAGCGTGCCGTTGGGGCCTTCGGCGGAGCTCCCTTCGGGGGCCACGGAGCGCGCGAGTGGTGTGCCGAAGCGGGCGGGACGCCCACATGCGAACGCTCTCTCTCTGGAGCTTTCGGTGGAGCTTCCTATGGGGCCACGAAGCGTGTGAGGGGTGTGGCGCCATGGACGTGCGGTGGGCGGGGAGCCCAATGCGAACGTGGCCTCTGGGGACTTCGGTGTAGCTCTATATCGGGTCGCGAAGCGTGTGAGGGGTGTTGCCGTCATGAACATGCGGTGGGCTCGGAGACACATGCGAACGCTGCCCCTGGGGCCTTCGATGGATCTGCCTATGGGCTACGAAGCGTGTGAGGGGCGTGCCGAAATCGACATGTGGTGGGGGGAGGGCCGCATGCGAACGAGGCCTCTGAGGCCTGCGGTGTAGCTCCCCTATGAGGCGACGAAGCGTGAAGGGTGTGCCGAAATGGACGTGCGGTGGGCGGGGAGCCGCATGCGAACGCGGCCTCTGGGTCCTTAAGTGGAGCTCCCTCTGGGGCCACGAAGCGTGTGAGGGGCGGGCCAGAATCGACATGCGGTGGGCGGGGAGCCGCATGCGAACGCGGCCTCTGAGGCCTTCGTTGGAGCTCCCTATGGGGCCATGAAGCGTGTGAGGGGCGTGCCGAAATGGAAATGCGGTGGGCGGGGAGCCGCATGCGAACGTGGCCTGTGGGGCCTTCTGTGTATCTCCCTATGGGGCCGCGAAGCGTTTGAGAAGTGTGCCGAATTTTTTTTGACGCGCTAAGGGGGGGGGCGAAGAGGAAGGTGAGGACGCGGGGCGCTGTCTCTTCAAAACGAAGACCCAACACCACATGATGGTTAGGAACAAGTCAATGCCATGGGGCGCGCTCTGGCAAGGAATCCCGAGGTGAATCAAGCCGTGGCGACGAGGGCAGAAGCCCCCGAAGAAACGGCCCCCAGACGCCCCATGGAGAGGGACCAATTTGCGGCAAGCCACCCAAGCAACACTTTCGGGCAATGAGGCGTGGTCTCGTCAAGGGAGCCGGTTAATCATCGTAGTCTCAAACATGTGGTTTCATCAAAGCGGAGCGCGCCAGGGGCGGCGCCAGAGGCGCCGCCAGTGGGGCCCAGGGCAGATCTCAGAACTCTGTGCGGACCCGAGAACGTGAGTGTTCATGCCGCTCTTTCCTCTTCGACTTCCCTGAGCTGGGTCGAGGCCATCGGGGCTTCTTGCCCCCAGGAGCCTCGATCCTCGATGCTCTCTCGGGCGGGTGGTGATGGGGGGTGGCCTAAACGGGGGCTGACTTAAGGAGGAGGAGGAGGAGGAGGAGGAGGAGGAGGAGGAGGAGGAGGAGGAGGAGGAGGAGGAGGAGGAGGAGGAGGAGGAGGAGGAGGAGGAGGAGGGGGAGGGAGTGAAGAAAAGAGCCTTTAAGGAACCCTTGAGGGCCCTGTGTGGAGCCAGCAGGGGCCCAACGGGCCCCTTGGGGGCCCTCTTCTTCAGCCCCCCTGTGAGCCCCCCCCCCGACTGCCACCCGCCCGACTCGCCCTGGTCTCCAGGGGTCTCCGGGGGACTCTTCGGGACGCCATTCTTGCTCAGGGAGCGCTGCACGAGAAAAACGAAGGGGATTTGTCTCGATGGCCCGAGGAAGCGCGCGGACGCACGAGGAGGAGCGCCGGAGGAACGACCATGGAGGAGGGGGAGGAGGAGAGGGAGGGGGACGGAGGAGGGGGAGGGAGGGGAGGAGGAGGAGGAGGGGGAGGGAGGAGGGGAGATGAGGAGGAGAGGAGGAGGAGGCGGAGGAGGAGGGGGGGGAGGGAGGAGGGGAGGAGGAGAGGAGGATAAGGAGGAGGGGGAGGAGGAGGAGGGAGGAGGAGGGGGAGGAGGAGAGGAGGAGGAGGAGGGTGGACAGCCCCCTCGAGGGGGTGGTGGACCGCCCCCCCCCTTCCCCTGGAGGGCAGCGTTCGGGGCCGGCTCAAGGGGGGACCCATCGACGAGGAATCGGCGTTGCCTCGCCGATAGATCGGCGGCAGGCACCCGATCGCGAACTTGTGCGCGCCTTCCTGGGCGTGGTGAGCTATCGGGCCCAGATCGGCAAGTTGTGGGCGATTGGGGGGTCGATGCGTCGGGGCCGGGGGGGGGGACCCTGCCCTATCCCCCTGACGTCACCCACTGGAGGAGGGTGAAGGAGGGGGATGAGGAGGGGGGGGAGGAGGAGGGGGAGGGGGAGGGGGTGAAGGAAGAGAGGAGGAGGAGGAGGAAGTAGGAGGAGGAGGAGGAGGAGGAGAGAGGAGGATGAGGAAGGAGGAGAGGCGGAGGAGGAGGAGGAGGAGGAGGAGGAGGAGGAGGAGGAGGAGGAGGAGAAGGGAAGGAGGAGGAGGAAGGAGGAGGAGAGGAGGAGGAGGAGGAGGAGGAGGAGGAGGAAGGAGGAGGAGGAGGAGGAGAGGAGGAGGAGAGGAGGAGGAGAGGGAGGGGGAGGGGGAGGAGGAGGGGGAGGGGAGGAGGAGGAGGAGATGAGGAGGAGGATGAGGCGGAGGAGGAGGAGTGATGGGGAGGAGGAGGAGAGGGGAGGAGAGGAGGAGGGGAGGAGGAGGAGGAGGAGAAGGAGGAGGGGGAGGAGGAGGAGGAGGAGGAGGAGGAGGAGGAGGAATCCCCCCCCCTCTCCTCCTGGAGCCTCTGGATCGCGTGCGCCACCTCGGGCCTGCAGGGCAGCAGACCTGTGCCCGCCCCCGCGCTGAGCCCGCTGGGCTCCGAGCCGAGGGTGCCGCCTGCTCCGCTGGGCGGGTCGCCGCCGCCGTCGTCGTCGTCATTGTCGTCGTCGTCGTCGTCGTCGTCGTCGTCGTCGCCGTCGCGACCGTCGTCGCCGTCGCGACCGTCGCCGTCGCCGTCGCCGAGGCCGTCGTCGTCGTCGTCGTCGTCGTCGCCATCGCCGCCGTCGCCGTCGCCGTCGCCGTCGCCGCCGTCGTCGTCGCCGCCGTCGCCGTCGCTGTCGCCGTCGCCGTCGCCGCCGTCGTCGTCGTCGTCGCCGTCGCCGTCGTCGTCGCCGTCGCCGTCGCCGTCGCCGTCGCCGTCGTCGTCGTCGGCGGCGACGGCGGCGGGGCGGCGGCGTCGTCGATCGAAAGTCACAATTATCGGGTCTGCTCGGGCTTCGAACGTCTGGCCAGAACGTACCTCAGCACAGGTCGAGCGGTCGTCGACTTCGTCGTCATCCGCCTCACTGCCGCCTCCTCCTCCAACTGCTGCTTCGCCTCCTCCTTCTTCTCCCATGCGCTCTCCCGCGAGCGCGGGGGGAAGGGGGGAGGCGGAGGTGGGCAATGCTGGTGCTGCTCATGATGCCGATGTGATAGCAGTGATGGTGATGATGATTGGCGATGCAGTAGGAAACGAGCAGAGAGGAGGAAAGATCAGTGTTGAGGGGCACAAGACAGGGCGGTGACAGACCGTGCGGTGATGGAAATCCCCAAGACCTCACCGCACGGTCCGTCGCAGCACCGTTTTGGGACCTTGGAAGCCCCAATCGCCCGATACATCGTCGGATAACGACCCAAATCCCACAACCGTGCGGTCACCCCAAATACCCGTTGACTCACCCACACGGTGTGGTCATCGCACTGTATGTGGATCGCCGAAGTGAGGAGGCGGAAGATAGGACTGGTCGGCGGATTCGGGGCGTCTCCCTTCTCAAATGGATTGGAGCAGATGGGGTTGGAGGATCACCGATCCGCGGCTCAGTTGCACCGGTGCTCCAGAAGTGCTGGCTCAGGCTGCACTCTTGGATTCAAAAATGTATCGATCGAGTCAAGCATCAGTTAGGGACTTACACTGGTGCATCTCCGAACCCGTCGACTCCAACCCCATCTGAAAGGCCTGGACTCGTTCCAAGGTTCCCCCGCGCTTAAAGAGAGACGGAGGAGAAAGCAGGGGCCAAGAGAAGAAATATTGACCGACTCCGAATCCCCAAATCCAAAAAAGCTGATGCGCGAACCTGCCGCCGTTTTGCTGTCGCCGGTTTCCGCCGAATGCGAGATGAGCCAACGGCCAGGCCCTTTCTGGAACGCCCTCGACCCAGAGATCCGAGATGCATCTTGTTTCCAAGACGGGGTCCCCAAGAATCCCGACCCTCTCTCCAGGGCTGGCTGTGCATCCCAGGCCGGTCTTCGATCTAGGGCTCCCAACTTCGCGCTTCGCGCTGCGCGCAGTGCGAATAACTTCGCGCTCTCGCGTCCCTTCCCAAGGGAGACGAGGAGGATGAGGAGGAATCGGAGCCGAACCGCGAAGCGCGAATAACTTCGCGCCCGCGAGGGCGCCCTTGTCTATGGCCCCCGGGGACCGGGGAGAGCACCGAGAGCCCGACAGCCAAGGGAGACCGCAGCGATGGCTCTTCAGATGCGTGGGAGGTCCGGGTGCCAGGCCTCCCCCCCGCCCCCGCGCCTAAGGAGACGGAGCCGAGGGTCGATGCGTTCGCCTCCACGAGCCCCGCGGCCGCTGTCGGGCGGGTGGTAGTGGGGGGTGGCCTGAACGGGGGGGGTGAAGACAAGGGGCCACATGGGGCCCGTTTTGGAGGTGGCAGGGGCCCAAAGAGAGCCCTTGAGGGCCCCGATCTCCACCCCCCTCCATTTGTCGAGTAGGGGATCGACTGCAGAATTGATTTATCCCAAACTTGCTTTATCCCAGACTTGTTCTATACGTAGAGTGTCTTGAGAATCACGTACGTCCTGTCATAATTTTCGGAGGTTCGACGAAGGCGTCAATTCTCGAGGTCCATCAACTCTGTAGTCGATCCCCTGCTCGACCTTTATCGGGCGTTGGCAGAACTGGGTTTCGTCGGACCTGGCTTAGTGATCTGCACCGGGGGGCGCCCCCCCCGTCGCATTTCCACTAACCGGAGCTGCCGTCACCCGAAAAAACACCAGCTACGGCAGACCCGGTTTAGTGATTCTGGCCAATTTAGGGGCTCCAAGGCCCCACCACTAACCGGGTCCCCTTACCCGGGGTCCCGGCCATACCCGACCTTTAGGCCACCCCCCCCTGACCACCCGCCCGCCGCTGCCCAGGCGCCCTCGCCGGCGCTGCCCCCCGCGAGGCCCGCGGTGCTGCCTGCCCGGCGGCGCAGCGCGGCGCGGCCCGCAGGGAAAGCGCAGCGGGCGCGAGGGGAGGGTTGCAAGTGGAGGAGGAGGAGGAGGAGGAGGAGGAGGAGGAGGAGGAGGAGGAGGAGGAGAGGAGGAGGAGGAGGAGAGGGGAGGAGAGGAGGAGGGGGAGGAGGAGGAGGAGGAGGAGGGGAGGGGGGGAGGAGGGGGAGGAGGGGGAGGAGGGGAGGAGGAGGAGGAGGAGGAGAAGAGAGAGAGGAGGAGGGGAGGAGGAGGAGGAGGAGGAGGAGGGGAGAGGAGGAGGAGGAGGAGGAGGAGGAGGAGAGGAGAGGAGGAGAGGAGGAGGAGGAGGAGGAGGAGGAGGAGGAGGAGGAGGAGGAGGGGGAGGGGGAGGAGGGGGAGGGGGGAGGAGGGGGATGATGATGATGATGAGGATGATGAAGGAGGAGGAGGAGGAGGGGAGGAGGAGGAGGGGAGGAGGAGGGAGGGAGGATGAGGATGAGGATGAGGATGAGGATGAGGATGAGGATGAGGATGAGGAGAGGAGGAGGAGGAGGAGGAGGAGGAGAGGAGGAGGAGGAGGAGAGGAGGAGGAGTAGGAGGAGTAGGAGTAGGAGTAGGAGTAGGAGTAGGAGAGGAGGAGGAGGAGGAGGAGGAGGGAGGAGGAGGAGGAGGAGGAGGGAGGAGGAGGAGGTGGGGAAGGCCGCAAGTGGTGAGCAGGAGAGATCAGGATCAAATCGGTAAGTCGGATCGGCGATCGAAACGAATCGGATCGGCGGAAATCGACAGCCGAATCGGGAGAAGTCGAATCGGCAGAAATCGGCAACCTAGTAGGCCACCACTGAGAAATTAGAAATCGGAATCCGAATCGGAATTCGAAGTCGAATCGAATGGGAACCCGTCGAAATCGAATCGGATCGAATCGGGGAAATCGAAATGAGCTCTGGTGGTGAGGGGCAACGATAGGGGGGGGACTGGCCCCACCTCTCCCGACTCCTTCCGGCGCCGACAGGGGGCGCCAGCGCCGATTCGAGAAACTCGCGGGGACCTCCCAACAATGCCGTGTGCATGCAGTGCTCCCTGCTTCGGCTGGAGGCCGCGAACCATTCCCTTCTGTTTCTGAAGGGCAACGATAGCTGGGGAGGACTGGCGCAGGGGGGGGGGGGGCGCATCGACCTGGAGTCGGCGATACATGGCCGAAAGAGATCGGCGATGGCCCCCCGATCGCGAAGCCGCACCCTCCGTGGCAGGGCGGGCCTGTCGGGCCCCCCGTCGGCGATCGACGGGCGATGGCGGGTCGATGGAATGCAGCCCCCCCCTATGCCTGCCCAGATCTCCGACGAGGAGCTGTTGCTCATCCGTCGGCCGCGGCGCGCTCTGGGCCGAGGCACGTGCGCGGGGAAGCTGGGGAACGAAATGATCACACGCCACGGTGAAGCTGCAGTCAACCCGTACCAGAAGGACGCACGCTGAGGATGCGAGGGCCTTAGGGGGCCATTCCGAGGCTTCTCGAGCGGGGCGCGGCCAGCGAAAGCGGCCAAGGATGGGCCGAAGGGGCAGGGATGCAGGGGTACCCTTGGGAAGGTTGCCACTCCTTATTCTGCGGGCTGACCTGGACGAGCGCGTTCCACTATTCGCTGAGTACCTGCTCGCAGACGGCCTGGATCCGCCGCGGGGGCTCTACGACACATTACATCGAAGCAGACATGTGCTTTTCGGACGTTTGTGAGTAGGCATTTTGCGACTAGTCAAATGCGCTCGATGATGACCGTAGTTGGCCCTAGCATTAAGTCGGGCGTGTCCCCCTACAAGGGGATTTTCTAGGAAAAATAAAGAATACGCAAAAAAGGCTCCAGAATTACCAAACGATGCTCAAAACATAGTCCCCAGACTTTTTTTTTTTTTTTTTTTTTTTTTTTTTTTGTAAACTATATATTTGAATATTCCTCCTGTAGAAGGACGGGCCCGACTTAACCCTCGCAAGACATCGCACTGCAACGCCAGCGCGGCCGGGCGGCTCGCTCCCTGAGCGCGGCGCAGCCCCTGCGCGCCGCCACGCCGGGCCGGGTCGCACGGCGGCGTTTTTTTGTCCTGGCCGTCTGCCTCGGATTTTTTTTTTGCGGTGCCGGGATGGGCTTTTTTCGACTCTCCCCCCCCTCGACTCCCCGACCCCCCGACTCCCCCGACCCCCCGACTCCCCGACCCCCCGACTCTCCGACTCCCCGACCCCCCGACTCCCCGACTCCCCGACCCCCCGACTCCCCGACTCCCCGACTGGCCGATGGGCAGTCGGAGAGTTCGTTCCGGTGCCTCAAGAATTGTCCCACTCGGGGCGGGAAACAAAAGGGCCCCCACAGCAGAGGGCCGGGACCTCTCTGGGGCCGCGGGTCGAGCAGGATCACGCTGGCGGATGTCTGGGGAGCAGGGTCTCGCAAGGAGACGGGCCGCGGGAAGAGGCCCGAGGCCTCGACGATGGGATGGCTGTTCCCCGCCCGACAGGTTTGGGGGTTGTCAGATGCCCCGGGAGTGGGGCCTGAAGGAACCGTTGCGTGGATTCCTTGGGCCCGATCCTGGGGTCCCGCGGGGCCCTCCACGAGCCTCGGGGCCGCGCAGACAGGATCCGGGACGAGAAACGGATCCTCGGGGAAGGCCCGGGGCCCCTCCTCCTCCTCCTCCTCCTCCTCCTCCTCCTCCTCCTCCCTCCTCCTCCTCCTCCTCCTCCTCCTCCTCCTCCTCCTCCTCCTCCCCTCCTCCCCTCCCCCCTCTCCCCCCCTCCCCCCCCTCCCCTCCTCCCCTCCTCCTCCTCCTCCTCCTCCTCCTCCTCCCCCTCCCAGGACCCGTTTCCCTCAGGACCTCGTTCCTTCATGCCGAGAAGGAGGCTGGCTCAGTCCGTGCAGTGCTTCAACTGAGGGGAGTTCGCCAGCACCTCCAGGGGATCGAGGCTCGGATGATCTCGACATCAGAACTCAAACGGTTTCGAAAAGGCTGGGGGGCCTTGGGGCTGAATTGCCCAACACATTTTCACCTCATTTATTTGCAACGCCGCCCTCCAAGAGGTGTTCCGTGACACATGGGTCTTGCCGCTGCAGTGCCATGTTCAAATGTGTGTCTGGTTCGAAGGTGAAGCTCTTGTGTTGTGGACGGTGACGCAAATGTGGGGCGTTGGGGGTCCCGAGGGATCCACCCCCTCGGGCAGATGGCGTCTGCCCGGTCAGCTCGGACCTGGCGGCGCGCAGAGCGACGACGGCGTCGTCGACGGCCTCCGCTGGCCTCGGGGCGCTTCCACGGCCTCGCGCCGCCGCGGCTGGACGCGGCTCGGGACAATCTGCCAGGACGGGCAGATCCCAGGATGGGCCCTCGGGCTGGCTTCGAGCGGATGTTCGCTGGGAGCAGGGCGAGGGTGGCCGCCTCCCTGGGAGAGCCAAGGGGGCTGCTCAGAGGGAAGCGCTCCCTCCTCCACGGCCCTCGGGAGGGCGTAGGAAGAGGGCAGGACCCCTAGGAGACGGGGTGCCTTCTCAGGTATGCGCGCCGCCGTCACGTACTTTGCTGCCTACGGCGCGGCGAGCGTGCTCCCGACGACTGGACGTCAAAAGGTCGGGTCATCCCCCCGAACCGCTCTTCAAACGCGGGGGGGTACGTCGAAATCACGAGCGGCGGACATGCCCGTATCCGCGCCCACGCGATCTGGATTCTAGGGCGCGAAGCGCTCGTCCGCGACGGCAACAGAACCGCATCGCCAACGGAACCTCAAGGAGCACGTGCATGCATGACTGAGTGTGCACGGCGGGGATCGGCCACGGGCAAAAGTGACCCCAAGCACGCGTGAATCTTGGAGCGCGCGGCTCGCCGATCGGCGCGTGCGATCTAGGACCGAAACGCCCCGTGCGGCCCGAATGATCCATGGCTCGAAGGGAGGAGGGGAGGTCGGTCGGACTCGGCAGGGCAGGACTCGGACGACGACGACGACGACCGCCGCCCTCCTCAGCGATGGGAGGCCCAGCCCCGAAAGCCCCAGGCGGCCCAAAACGTACGGAGACGAGAGGGCGGCGGACGGCGCGGCGCGCGGAGGGCAGGGGATGGGGAGGGGGGAGGGGGAGAGGAGGGAGGGCTCCTCCTCCTCCTCCTCCTCCTCCTCCTCCTTCTCCTCCTCCTCTCCTCCTCCTCGTCCTCCTCCTACTCCTCCTCCTCCTCTTCTTCCTCCTCCTCCTCCTCGGAGGGGGACCGGGGAAGGTGCCTCGAGGGCGTGAAGGGGAGGAGGAGGGGGAGGGGAGGAGGGGAGGGAGGGGAGGGGAGGGAGGCAAGCTAGGTGCGCTCGCGTCATATCTGACGTCCTACCCCTCCCTCCCATCCCTTACCATGGCGCTGATTTTCTCTATCCGCGGACGCGTGTCGTAGCGGACCTGTGGCTCCGCGCGCGCGTGCGTAGTGGGTGGTGGTGCACGCGCGTGCGTGCGTGCGTGTGTGTGTTTGGCACAGCATTACATGGCATAGCATGGTGTCGAATATCAACGCGTAGCATGACATAGCATGGCGTGGCGACGCCCCAAGGTGGGGGGGCTTCAGCGGCCTAAAACAACACACGAATCGACACCGATTGTGTAACGACTTCAAATAATGACGCCAACGCTGCAGCGGGAGCACGATTGGGAACGAGCGGAAGCGCGGAAATGAGGCCAACGCTGCAGCGGCAGCACGATTCGGAACGAGAGGTAGCCCGAAAATGAGGCCAACGCTTCAGCGAGGGCAGCATTTCGAACAAACAACTCAGCGCGGAAGCGCGGAAATGAGGACGCGTAGCCTGACATAGCAGAAGGCGTGGCGACTCCCCCAAATGGGGGGGCTTCTGCGGCTCAAAACATCAACGAACCGACACCGAATGTGTAATCACTTCCGAGGTTTTTTTCGGGAGACATTTTCTAGATTTTGGGGCCTATTTGGATGGACCGACAAACATGCCGTGGCATGGCATTTGAAATATGACGCCAACGCTGCAGCGGGAACACGATTCGGAACGAGCGGAAGCGCGGAAATGAGGCCAGCGCTGCAGCGGCAGCACGATTCGGAACGAGCGGTAGCCCGAAAATGAGGCCAACGCTCCAGCGAGGGCAACATTTCGAACAAACAACTCAGCGCGGAAGCGCGGAAATGAGGACGCGTAGCCTGACATAGCATGGCGTGGCGACGCCCCAAAGTGGGGGGCCTCCGCGGCCCAAAAAATCAACGAATCGGCACCGCATGTGTAATCACTTCCGATGTTTTTTTTCGGGGGGGGGGCATTTTTTTAGATTTTGGGACCTATTTGGAAGGACTGCAAATCATGCTATGGCATGGCGCTGGAAATACTGACGCCAACGCTGCAGCGGGAGCACGATTCGGAACGAGCGGAAGCGCGGAAATGAGGCCAACGCTGCAGCGGGAGCACGATTCGGAACGAGCGGTAGTCCGAAAATGAGGCCAACGCTTCAGCGAGAACAACATTTTGAAAACAAGCCCAAGCGAAAGCCCAACTCCCGGGAATCCGGCGTAAAAAACACTACGCGGAGGGGGGCCAGACATTCCCTGGACGCCACCAGGGGAGAGAGGAGAGTAGTATTTTATTGTGTAATTGTGGAGGAGGAGGGGTGGAGGGGGGAGGGGAGGGAAGGGAGACCAGGTGAATCGAGGGCGTGGAGAGGAGGGGAGGGAGGGGAGGAGGGTGGTGGGACTTGGCTTCAGGGGAAGAGACAAAGGGGCCCAAGCATCCCCGACCTTCGTTTGTTTTTTTTTTTCGTTCTCATCCCGTGGGCCCCCAGAAGTCTCGACCCCATCTCCGGGACCGATGTTTCATCCCGAATCCTTCCTTTTCTGACGGTCCCAGGGCCCCGTGAAGGCACCCATGAGCCGAAAATTACCAACGATCTTCCGTAGAGATTTCTTCACGACGCGAGGAGATCTGGCTTTCGGGTCATACCTTGGGTCTCCTGCGTCCGTTCGGGACGATTCGGGCACCCCCACAACGGCCTCGGCGAGCCGCAGCTGCTGAAGAGCATCCCGAGGGTGGGACATCTCCAAGAACCGATGACAAACTGCCGGAAACCTTTTGCCGAACATGGGAGGGGGAGGAGACCCAGGATTGGCAGTGAGCCAGGGGGGGTGGAAGTGAGAGGGGGCAAGCCTTCTCAGAAGGCGGCGGTGCTTCTCAGAAGCCCTCTGGCCTTCTGAGAAGCCGCCCCTGTCTTCGGAGAAAGCCTAGACAACACCTGAAGGTCGGAGGCCTTTCGCGCCTTCTGTCGGGGGCGCGCAAACATGGATTAGCGATCCATGGACTTGGCGCGCGGTCGCCAAATCCATGGATCGGGGGAGGTGCCCTTCCCAAAGTGCGGTCGGTGCCGCCTCGCTCGGCGGCGGAAATCCGCGACTTCCCATGGAAACGGGACCCGTCGCCAATCCACGCCCCCTTGATCCATTCTTGCGATCGCCTGATTCTGAGAGGGCCCGTCCCTGGGGCTCGCCTTCTGCCTTCCCCCCTGGGGCTCGCTCTCTGACTTCCTCCCCTGTGGCCCGTCCCTGGGGCCCGTCCCCTCCGACTTCCCCCCGGGGGCTCGTCGCCGACAAGCTGACTGCCCCGCCCGCCCCTCGCCTGAGGCGTCCCCCTCGTCGGCTCCGCGCGGCGGCCACGGCCCAGCTTCGTGGTCCTGGCGCTGCCGCGCCGGCGGCTCCTCGCACCGGAGGGGGGAGGGGGGACGGCGGCGAGGGGAGAGAGGCAAGCTACAGGTGCGCTCGCGGCCTCTCTGACATCCTGTCACCCCCTCCCATCCATTCCCGTTTTTTTATCTCTTTCTCTCGTTCTCTCTCTCTCTCTCTTTTTTTGTTTTTCTCTCTGTCTCTCTCTCTCTCTCTCTCTCCGCGGACGCGTCATAGCTGACCTGCAACTCCTCAGGACCTGTGAGACCTGCGACACCTTTAGGACCTGTGGGACCTGTGGGACCCGTGGGAACTGTGGGACCTGCGAGACCTTCGGGAAAGATGGCACCGGCGGGACCTGCGGGGCCTCTGTGGGACCTGTGAAACATGCGACACCTGTGGGACCAGTGGGGCCTGCAGAACATGTCGGACCTGTGGGATCTGTGGCACATGCCACAACTGCGACACCAGTGGGACCTGTGGAACCTGCCAGACCTGTAGGACGACCTGCGACAACTGTGGGTCCTGGTACGTGTGGGATCTGTGGGACCTGCGAGACCTGCGAGACCTGTGGGACCTGCGAGACCTAGAAAAGTGGCCCACGCTGGGGCGGGAACGCATTTCTGAACGACGGGAGCACAGTGCCGATCCGAAAATGAGGTCCGCGCGACAGCTAGAGCGCAATTCTTTAAGCACTGAAAGCGATAGGATTATAAACACAGGTATGAAACAACACAAAAAGGAATTCGGCCGAATCTTGCCTGAAAAAAACACGATGCGGACGGGGGTGGGGAATTTCTGCACAGGGCCTGGGGAATGAGGAAAATTGCAGCCACATGGTGTAATTGAGGAGGAGGAGGAGGAGGAGGAGGAGGAGGAGGAGGAGGAGGAGGAGGAGGAGGAGGAGGAGGAGGAGGAGGAGGAGGAGGAGGAGGGAGGATGAGGAGGATAAGAGGAGCAGGAGGAGGAGAAGGAGGAGGAGGAGGACGAGGAGGAGGAGGAGGGGAAGGAAGACGAGGAGGAGGAGGAGGAGGACCGATGTAAACCCAAGGCCCGTCAACGATGTTTGAATAGATCCTCCCTCCAAGCTCCCTTCACAAGGACCTGCAAATATTCATTTCCAATGAAGGAAATGCCCCGTTGGGAAACAACCGTTTGAACATTCTGAAACATGTCAAAACACCATTCTCAAGATTTCAACGCCACGTATCAACTTGACTCTCGCGCATTGGCGATCCTGACTCGCGCCAGAACACCAATCCCGGGGCATCAACACCGCGAATCAACTTAACTGTTGCGCCCTAACAACCCGGAGCTGCTCCCAACGACCATTTCTTGTATGTTAACCTTGAGAGCCCGCGAACCCTGGCACCTCTTTGCAACGAACGGGCGCGGCGCTGAAGCGAGAACCACATTTTGAAAAGAACAGCCCTCAATAAATGAAGCTATTGCCAACATTTGGGGCGACTGTGTGCGGCGCTACATGTTGAAAACGACCCGCCCTCAATCCGTAAAGCTTTTGTATCTTTTCTAATCAAATGCACGCGGCGCTAAAGCGGGAACGGCATTATGAAAACGAGCCACCCTCAATCTGCGAAGCTCCTGCGCATCTTTAAACGAATGTGAAGGGCGCTACAGCGAGAGCCACATTTTGAAAACCACCCGCCCTCAATTCGTGATGCTCTTGCTAATGGTTGAAACGAGTGTGCGCGCACTGAAGCTGGAGCCACATTTTGAAATCCACCCGCCTTTGAAAACTGTTGCCAACTTGTAAGCTTAAGGATTATAAATGGTAATGGAATCTCCAACGAAATGCCCAACCCGCCTTTCCGATTGGCCCAGGGGTGCGACGGGGGAGATTCATTTATAAGGAAAAGGAGAGGAGGAGGAAGAGGAGGAGGAGGAGGAGGAGGAGGAGGAGGAGGAGGAGGAGGAGGAGGAGGAGAACGAGGAGGAGGAGAGGGACGAGGAGGAGGAGGAGGAGGAGGAGGACGAGGAGGAGGAGGAGGAGGAGGAGGAGGAGGAGGAGGAGACGGCGGCGAAACAGTGTCGGGCCGAAGGTCGATAGAACCCGAGCTTAAACCACAATCCGATGAAATTCAAGACTGTGCGACCTACCGTGCGCAAAGAGACTGTGCAACATGATGGCCCCACAGCGGGAGCCCAGAGTTGTCCTCGCTCAACCACAACCGACAAACTCGGACGACGAATTACCGACGGGTAAGCATTGGTTGGCCTGCGGGTCTTTGAGATGCGCCTCTCGCGTGGCTGCCGCCGCCTTCGCGTGCGTCCCGCCGGCTCGCGGGTCCGCATGGACCGCTGCCGCATCCTTGCTCATCGTGAAGGTCGAGAGGGCCACCGCCATCAACGTCCACAACTGGAACGCGTTGCCGAGGACGGCCCGCCCGAGAATGAGCTCCAATCGCGCCGCGGTCTGCGCGCCAGACGGTTGAGGGAGTCGGGCGCTGGGCCATGCGGCTTGCCGATCTCCATCGCCGCGTCTGGTGGCTGCAAGGGCTGAGCGCCTCCGTTGCCTGCTTCCTGGCTGCCTCGGGGCCGAGCTGCCTCCTCTTCGTGCTCGCCCGCGCGGGCGGGGGGAAGACTGCGGGCCGCTGCGGCGTCGCCCTGCGGGCCCCCCTGCTCCTCGCCGCGCCGAGCGCGACCTCTCGGCCTCGATCTGCTCCGAGCTCAGCCTGGACATCCGCTCGCTCACTTGCTGGCGCGCGTCGAGGGGGGGGGCAGCCGGTGTGCGTGAGCAAGTACTTACTCAGGGCGTCCAGGTCAAGAAAGGGTTCGCTCGCTGAACAACTGTAGGCCGCGCTGTGACCCCCGTGAATGGCTGTTGCCGCGATCGACGCAAGGGGGCGCGACAGGTCCGATGGCGCTTGAACTAGGTGGCGATGCGGGGTCGACGTGAACGGGCGCCGATACTTCAGCGCGCCTGCAACGCATGTTCCTGTGCAATGCTCCTAGTCCTGAGCGCCTTTCTGCAGAGAGCGCAATGGTTCGTCACGGTGGCCGCGTGCGTGATGGACCGCGTCAAGCGCCCCCTGCCGAAGGGGACCTCTGGGGAGCCAGCGGGGCCCGACGCGCCCCGCGCCCCCGCCCGCAGACGAGCCCCGTCGAGTCCACTTGCTCGCATCTCCAAGTCCAAGCCGTCGGTGGGAGCTGGGCCGACTCGGCCCCTTGGGCCATGCTGCAGGGCCCTCCGAGTCCAGGACGGGGAGGGTTCGCCGCCGTTTTCTCCGCCTCTCTGAGAAGGCAGGGGCCCAACATCGAGTCGAAGCGGGTCGGGTAGCGGGTCCGGTAGAGACGAGTAGAAACGAAGCTCCTCGAACAAATCCTGCTCCTGGGCCCCCTCCAGCAGGCGAATGGCGTCGGCGGCAAAGCGCTTCGAATAAGGATTCGCGGAAGTCGAGAGCGTGCCGCAAAGCAGGAGCGCCGGGGAGGGCTCGACAGGGAGCTCGCCGGAAACGGCCGCCAACTCCTGCGGGGGGCACGACGGCCTGCGGATCCATCTATGATAAGGCCGAAGGCGACGAATGCAGAGCTCGACTCCACTACCAGCGACGCCGACACAGCGTGACAGTCTCATCAGAGCTCGATCGACCGATGCTTCAAGCGCGGGTCCCCCTCCTCGTCAAAAAGTGGGTTGGCCCTCGGAGTCCAGAGCGGATCTTTTTTTCCACGGGCGTCTCCCCGGAGCTGTTTTCCAGCGAACCCGGCGACCACTCTTCTCCCGAGAGGGGGCCATGGTCGTCGTCGTCGGGCCCGAGGGGGGAGCGCCGTGGACCGCCGCCCCGAACGCCGTCTGCGCGAATATTCGGGCCCTGTTCCTCGCCCAGAACTTGCCCATCCCCTCCTGCGCGCCAGGGTCCTCCGACCGGGCTCTCCCTGGGCCCCCCCGTTCGCCGCCGTCTGGATTCCGGAGTTGTCGCGCTGAACGCGTCCCGTGACGGGAACAGCACCTCCGAGCATGGCCTCGGCGTGAGCTTTGGATCCTAGCCCGACGAAGACTGGGGGGATATTGCTCTTGTCAAGGTTTCGAACGTCGCCCCCGCAAGCCAAGGCGTCTCGAAGCCCCTGATGGGCGACATTCGATGTGTGCTGGGCATTCCTTGCCGGCGACGCGACGCGCGTCCTGCCGGTGTCGTCGGCGTGGGGGCGACGCGACGCGGCAGGGGGGCGTGCCCTCGCAAGAAGGGCACCCGCGCCGTGCGAATGTCCTCTGGCGGCCAAAGGGGCCGCGCAACATTGGCAGGGGGAACGGCGGGGGCGACAGGAGACGAGACCCATTCATTATGCGAGGTAGGTCTCGGAACGGGGTTTGAGAGTCAGAACGGGGGCGCGCGCGCAGACCGCCCAGCCGCGCCTGATTTGGGCGCCTGAAGGCGCGGGCGAAGAGCGCCGCCGCTGCCGTGCCCCCCATGAACGTTCCGCGTGAATTCTTCAGAGTCGGTCCCCCCCAATGTGCTGCCTGAGCCGTGAACGCGCTCTTCTCGTGTCTTTTATACAGAAAGCGCTGGGTAGCAAGCCCGATCGACTCCTGCGCCGTGCTCCTGAGCGCTTCGACCTCAGCGCGAGCGAGCACGTTTGGCATTTCTTCTTCCGGGATGGCCGACGAGATGCCCGGGGTCTCGGCCGCCGGAGAAATGCTTCTTGGCGCGCGAGGGCTCCTTCCTGGTCGCGCCCAGGCAAGTGCCCGCGTTCTCTATCAGGTGCCGCGTCGGGAACGCTGCGGACCGGCTGGGCCTCGTGCTGGGCCTCCCCATCTTCGTGAATGCGCGTAGTGGCCATGGACATATCCTTGCCGTTTTGTTTGGACAGCCCCGTGGCCCTAGAATGATGCCAGACCGCAGGGGCCCCCCAAACCCTTCGGATGTGGTGGCGAATCTTCTGGGGGCCCTTGTTGAGAGGGTGCTCTTTTCTGTAGACCTCCGCATCGGCCCCTGGATCCCCCTTGCCCCCCGCAAGACGACGGCGAGAAACGAGCTCCCGAGGAACGAGCCTCGAGCGACTCCGGGGCGATTCGAGCCCCTTCCTTCTCGTCGTTCTCTCGGCAACGCGGCGTGCGGTGACAACCGTCGAACCTTGCGCCGGGGTCGACCGCCGGTTGGGGGACTTCAGACGGCGCGCCGTGCAGCGGGGCCGCCTTCCTCCTCGGGGCCTTCGCGAGTAGCTCAGACACCTGTGCCCGGTCGCCCTCTCCCCCTCGACGCGGGTGACAATGCCGTGCCCGAGCGGAGGTGGGGGCGGGCGGGGCTCCAAGTGGCGTTCTGGAGCTCCAGGGACTCAGCCGAAGCGGCCTGCAAGCGGCCGCTAGGCCCATCTCGCGGCAACTATTCCTGGATTTCGCCCTTCCGTGGGGCGTGTTCATCTGGGGCATTGCGCCGCCGTCTTGGCCCTCTGCATTGCTCCGCGAGATAGTGCGCCAATCTCCAGTCCGCGGCGTGCTCCTGAGACTTCCAGGCAGACGCGCTCTCCTCGACGAGCAACGACGACGCCTCCTCGCAACGGTGCCTCCGAAGCTGGCGAAGTTGATCAGACGCTCGAGCTAGCTCCATCGCCGCCCCCAGATCATCATCTCCCGCACTTCTCATAGAACGACGTAGCGCTAGAAGCCTAGATCTCTCAGCCGCGAGCGCCTTAGTTTTCTCGTCGTCCTCCGACTGTCTACCAGCGTGGTTCTCAGCAGTAACATGGGCACGCGTGATCCACATCTGCCAAGCCTCGCCAGGAGCAGGCGTACTAACCAGTAGCTCGTAGAAACGGAGACCCTCGAACTGGCTCTCCAGATCTCGAGTGGGCGAAATCTGGCACTCCAACGCCCTTCTTAAGTGCCGTCGCAGGCATATCGAAATCCCACTGAGCACCCTCTGAACGAGACCACGACATGCCAGAAACGTACTCGGTGCGTAACAAGATCAGCGCACGGTCCTGCATTCCCTTTTCCTTCATGAGTTTGAGTCGCTGGTTCGCAACCCGAAGACCTTGACGCCTTTTTACCGAATCACACAGCCATTCGAAGACCGCGACGTAATCTGTCGCACTCGAACTGCTATGACCGAAGAGTGTATCACCCACTCTGCAATCCATGGAGACCGCCCACATAGCAAACCTTTCTAGAATGTCCAAGGCTGTGCGAACTGCATATCTATGCTCTACACGACCGTGCACGCCAAGAGCCGCCGAACGGATAGGGACCACACCTTTACCTGAAACTCACTGAAGCCCGAACGAACCGTTCAGATCGAAACCGAAAAACACAACCGTCCAAGTGCAGGACCACGTCGAAATCTTCTCAATCCGGGAACACATACAGTCGATTGTTGCCCTGAACTGCCAAGAAGGCGCATCTCCAGTCGACTGTCTACGTTACTTTTTTTTCTCGACGGGCGGGGAGGAACATGCGCCATATCAGCAGTGGATCAACTCGCCCCGATCGAACCCGATGAAGCGCCACACGACCTTGCAGATGCGTGGGCACGAGAGGGGAATCAAATATGTGAAACCACGCGGCGAGTTCATGTACCTTCCAGGAACGAAGCCGCCCATCAGCGCAATACGGTGCCCCAGATGTTTGGACCAGCGTAGATTCACGAGCACGCCCACCCGTCGAAGAAAGAACCACGATATCGACATGTTTGAATTTGTCCGAAATCCAATGCGGTCGCAGCTCGTCAGCAGCCGCCATAAACTTCCAATGTCTGTGTGAGAGCATGGCTGCAGCGAGAGCTGGCCGTGGGGCCATCAAGCTTGAGGCGAGTCCACGCTCGGAGCATGCTGGAGCTTTCGTGCCCCTGTGTGTCATGTCTGGGCCAGGGGGGCTGGAAGGAGAAAAAGGAGAAGGAGGAGGAGACGGACTAATGCAAACCCAAGATTCACCAACAATATTGCAACCAACCCTCCCTACAAGCTCCAAGTTCACTCTCCTCAAATGCCCCTGAAAAGAATTTACTTTCACTGAAGTAAGTGCCCCGTTGGGCAGCAACCGTTTAAACATCCGGACCTGTGACAAGACACCATTCCTGGAACTTCGGCGCCGCGAATCACTGTTCGTGTTGCGTCTTGACGATCTTGATCCGTGCCAGTACGCCATTCCTGGGACTGCAGCGACACGAATCAACGTTGCTGTTGCGCCCTGACGGCCCGACATCGTGCAAGAACACCTTTTCCACGATGTTAAGTATGAGAACTCTTGAAACTGCTGTAAACACTTAGAACGAATGTGCGCGGCACTAAAAAGAGAACTACATTTCGAAACTGAACCGCCCCTCAATTCGTGAAGCTCTCGTATGTTTTCGTGACGAATGCCCGCGGCGCTAAAGCAAAAACCACCTG